CGCATCATCCTCCGACACTTCCGCCATCTGCAATCCGACCCCACCACCAAAGACATTTTTCCCTCCCCACCCTTATCTGCTTTCCAGAGGGACCACTCTCTCCGTCACTCCTTTGTCCGCTCCACACTCCCCTCCAGTCCCACCACACCCGGCACTTTTCCTTGCAACCGCAGGAAGTGCTACACCTGCCCCTACACCTCCCCCCTCACCCCCATCCCAGGCCCCAAGAAGACTTTCCACATCAAGCAGATGTTCACCTGCACATCTGCTAATGTGGTATACTTGTCCGCTGTTCCCGTTGTGGCCTCCTCTACATCGGGGAAACCAAGCGGAGGCTTGGGGACCGCTTTGTGGAACACCTACGCTCGGTTCATACTAAACAACTGCACCTCCCAGTCGCGAACCATTTCAACTCCCCCTCCCATTCCTCAGACGACATGTCCATCCTGGGCCTCCTGCAGTGCCACAACGATGCCACCCGAAGGTTGCAGGAACAGCACCTCATATTCCACTTGGGAACCCTGCAGCCCAATAGTATCAATGTGGACTTCACAAACTTCAAAATCTCCCCTCCACCTACCACATTCCAAAACCAGCCCAGCTCGTCCCCGCCTCCCTAACCTGTCCTTCCTCCCACCTATCCCCTCCTCCCACCTCAAGCCCCACCCCCATCTCCTACCTACTAACCTCATCCCACCCCCTTGACCTGTCCGTCCTCCCTGGACTGACCTATCCCTTCTCTAACTCCCCACCTACACTCACCTTTACTGGCTCCATCCCTGCCTCTTTGACCTGTCTGTCTCCTCTCCACCTATCTTCTCCTCTATCCGCCTCCCCCTCTCTCCCTATTTATTTCAGAACCCCCTTCCCCTCCCCCATTTCTGAAGAAGGGTCTAAGCCCGAAACGTCAGCTTTCCTGCTCCTCTGAAGCTGCTTGGCCTGCTGTGTTCATCCAGCTCTACACCTTGTTATCTGAGAATTAAACCCATTCTTTTGGCATTACTCTGTATCACAAACCAGCTAGCCAGCAACTGAGCTAACGGATCTTTCAACCAAAGCTGCAATGAGGTCAGGAGCTGAGTGGCCCTAGTGGAACCCAAACTGGGCATCACGGCGTAGGTCATTGCCATTGGTGTCCCAAGTGCATCATGGTTGCTCAGTTTTGTGCTGGTAGATCTGTTCAATGTCTGTCCTATTCAGCACAGTGATCGAACCACAGAACACATTACAAGGTGTAACCAACGTGAAGGTGGAACTTTGTCTCCACAAGGACTGTGCGGTGGTCAATAGTATCAATACTGTCATGGACAGATGCATGTGCAGCAGACAGATTGCTGACGATGAAGTCAAGTATGATTTTCCCTCACCACTTGCTGCAGACCCAGTCTAGCATTTAGGCTCTTTTGGACTCAACTAGCTTGACCAGTGGTGCTACTGCAAGGCACTCTTGGTGGTGCATATTGAAATTCCCAACCCAGGATGCATTCTGCATCCATACGACTTTCAGTGCTCCCTCCAAAAGTTGTTCACCATGGAAGAGCACAGTGTCATCAGCTAAGGGAGGATGGTTTATGGTAATCAAAAGGAGGTTTCCTTGTCCATGTTTGACCTGATACCATAAGACTTCATGGGGCCCAGAGTCAATGTTGAGGTCTCCCAGAACAATGCCTTTATGGAATGAGCTGCCAAAGGAGGTGATGGGGGCTGGTACAATTCCACCATTTAAAAGGCATCTGTATGGGTATATTAAAAAGAAGGGTTTAGAGGGACATGGGGCAAATGTTGGCAAATGGGACTAGATTAATTTAGTCAGCATAGACAAGTTGGACCGAAGGGTCTGTTTCCATGCTGTACAGCTCTATGGCTCTATGACTGTATACTACTGTGCCGCCAACTCTGTTGGGTCTGTCATGCCAGTGGGTCATTGAGTGACGTTGAGTGTAAGGTGTAATTATGTGAGTATGCAAATATCGGGGTGTTGTTTGACTAGTCTGTGAGGCAGCTCTCCCAATTTCAGACTAGTCTCAGATGTCAGTAAGGAATGGCTGGCTAGGCCATTTCAGACAGCATTAATAGCCAATCACATTGCTGTGGGTTTGAAGTCACATGTCGACTAGACTAATCATAGCAGATTTCCTTCCATGAAGGACATTAGTGAGCAAAACAGGGCTTTTCTGACAGTGGTTTCACGATCATCATAAGACTCTTAATTCCAAATATTTATTGAGTTCAAATTCCATTGTCTGCCATGGCGTGATTTGAACCTAGGTCCCCAGATCATTATCACAGTTTCTGGATTAATAGTCTAGCGAAAATACCATTAGGCCATTGCCTTCCCATAGGATGCTAAATGAAGATTTTTTAGATATTTTAGCTGAAAATAAATGCTTGAAATTCATTCAATTCATGATTAGTTGTTAGATTTTCAAACTGGAAACACCAGTCATGGGTCACCATTTAAGGTAAACTGTGTTGCCTTATATTTCTAAACAAGAAAATCCTAAAAACATTCAACACAAATCTAGTAAAGGAGTTAGTGAGAATGAAAAAGAAGTCCCGAAAGTGTATCAGTAAACCCCAAAAGCAAAAGTAAGCCCTTGAAAATACACGACAATACTCTGACCCCTTGCATTGTGCCGTGGATGACAGCAATTGTTGTTGGCTTTCACAGTTTTGCACACAAACTCCAGATCTCAACTGCACTATTATAAAGATTCCTATCCATAAGGAGAAAATTAAATTTAAGGGAATATTATTTTGGATTGTTCAACCTGCTCATCAGTAATGAACAGTTGGAGTAATAGCAATATTAAAGAAGACTACAAGTTGGTCATGTGACTTCCATCTTGGCTTATAAATAGCATGTGGCAATAAGAAACAAAAAGGATCTTTTTGAACAAAGTAAGTCAAACATGCAGTTGACTAAATATATGAGACACAAACTTAATGCACCCTGAGAAAATTTTTCTCAGGGCTCAAATTACCCTCTATCATTGGGTTAGAAGTGATTATAGAAGATTGAAATGCTCTTTGCTACATCAGAACTTTTATTTACTGCAACAAGTTACAGTAGAGCAATTAAATTGCTGTATGAAGGAAACATACTGGTGTTCAAAGAGCTAAAGTCATTATTATTTACCATACATTAATATGAGTTTAAAAATTCAGAAAGACTAACAAACCAAAATAACTTCAGTCTTTACTTACATGGCATTGTACGTCCAACAGGCACACTTTATTCTTAGCCAATACATGTCGAACAGAATCTATACTTGTTCCATACAAGTTTCCTCTGTATTCTCCATGTTCAATAAATCTGGAGAAAATAACAAGCAGAAGAAAGTAGGTCAACTGCTGAACTATACTTTTAAAAAACATTCTCTGCTTTTTAAAATGTTGAAACTATACATAATGCATGCAGTCAGGCCACTTAGAGCAACAAAATGCTTTCAGTTATTTGATGTCATTGAAATAAATTCAAATAAAATCTGCAGCATTAACAGAAAAGACACTATACAACTAAGCAACACACTGCTTCTTCAAAGGCACATCTAAACTTTGTAGAACAGATCAAATTATTTCTAATATCTATTTAACAGATTGAAAATGCATGGCACAAGTTTATGACATGAAGAACACAGCGATGTCAAGTTTAAAAGTTTGATAACAGAATAAAACGGTAACATTTAGCTCCCTGAGCAACTTGCCGATCTGATTTCCCAAGTAACCTATTGTTCATATATTCCGATACTTTTCATCACTGCATCTGAAACTTTCCAGATGTGCTGGCATGAAACAGAGTGTGCCATTTTTTTAAACTTACTTGTTATTTTGTACATCTGTCTCAAACAAGTGCTTGGAAATAAAATGATATTCCACTCCGTCAGTTTCCTGGCTTCTTTTTGGCCTTGTTGTATCTGCGAATGACAAAACATAAAAAAAAAACATTTTTAGTATTGCTAATATTCAACTGGTTGTTTAAAATTAGTTTAAAGTATCAGAACAGATATTATCAATGCCATTTGCCTTTAGGCTTTTAAAGAAGCTAAGTGTAGCCTAAGCAACAAGTTTCTAGCTTTTTTTTCTATTTTATTGGAACATTTGGCAATTAGGCCTGTCTACAGAAACATAATTAAAGCACTTGAAAATTTCTGAATGTTGTATCCAGAGAATTTCTAAATGAAAATAAATTACAAATGACATATTACTTTATAAAATCCAGCATTATTCCTACTGCTAATAGAAAATCTAGCTATGTTATGTGGTTTAATTTTAATGTCACCACCACTGTTGCTATTCAGAAATATGGCAAACTGTCATTTTATTCGTCAGCATAGTCCACGTTAAAGCCAAAGCATGAGGCATTGGAATGGCATTTTATACAGTAGACTGAAAAATTTTTTCCTCTAAACCTTATAAATGTCATGACGGCTGTGAAAATCTGACAATTATAATGAAAAAAAAGAAATAATATCATACCAGAAAGAAAACTCTTCCTGATTTAAGAAAAATAATTGACTGTGTAATCTTTCCTCCGTTTGAATAATACCATTGAAGCCTTTCTTTTGTTTAAACAATAGAGGATTTTTTTAAACATAGAATGCATGTGACACAGAAATTATTAAAAAAAAGTTATTGTTGCTCCAACAGAACATCCCGAGTCTTTTAGGTTACATTTTTTGAAGTCACAGAGACAGGATCGCATTTCATTAAATATTTCATAAATTTTCCTGGCAAGTATACTATGTTTTGATTAGAACTGGCTCCTGTATAAAAAAACTACAGACTAACCTATTCTCCTGTGATTAACTGTACAACCAGATAGTAAAAAAAGGTGCAATGATAATGGAAAAAAATGTCAGACTTGCACACGATATAGGGATTGTAAAGTTTATGTCATAAAGCATAAGAAAATCAAAATGATTTTTGGAATGGATCCTCATCGAAAGACTGGCTTGAAGCCTTTAGGTTTTGATGAATTATTGTGCACAACAAATCTTCATTACACCATGGAAAAGTTGCAATTTTGCTCACCTCCAACTGGTTTCTTTTTACTGTTTTATCAGTCAGTATCAAAAGTCTATCAGAAAAATAAATATCACTCCTTCTAGCTTTGCTATGGAATTGAAAATGTGACTTTACAAATGAATTGTTGGAACAGATCATTGGCTACAATTCTAATAGGTGGGAAACTTTAGGATTAGTTGACCGAATTTCTTACATTTCAGCAAATTCCTAAATGCTGTTAATCTCCTACATTCGGAATAAAATTAATTAGGATCTTCTTTATTTCACCTGATAATAATAAAATCTACATTCTTGTTAGCTTAATATTTATAAACTATTAAACATGGATACATGACCACCATGGTTAACCAGTGACAACAGAATGGTTTGCACATTTCCCATTTAATGGCTGCCAATTATTATCAACTAATTTGCTGTTTAATTTGTACAGTCACAGATACATAAAAGTAGACATGCTTCTATGTAATAAGTGCATGAACTGTTTTTCCAATGCATGCATGGTGAGAGGCCGCTGGCTAGGCCAGCACCTATTGTCCTGATGAGGGTGGTGATACTTTGCCTTTTTGAACCACTGCAATCTTCATGTATGGTGACACCCACAGTACTGCAAGGGAGGGAGTGCCAGGACTTTGACTCAGTCAGAACAATATAGTTCCAAGTGAGGATGGTGAATGGCTTGCAGATGGTGGCGTTCCCATGCAACTTCTGCCCTTGTCCTTCAAGGTGGTAGAGACTCTGAGTATGGAAAATGATGTCCGTAGTAGCCTTTGAGAGTGATTGTGGCACATCTTTTAGGTGGTACACACGGCTGCTGCTGTGTGTCAGTGGTGCAGGTGGTCGATGGATGGCAAATAATATGGTTTTCTTTTGTACAGTTTCTCCAATTTTGTTGCAGCTGCACCCATTCAGAAAAGCAAAGATTATTCCATCAAACCCCTGATTTATGTCTTGTTAATCATGGACAGTGGTGGAAGAGGCAGCAGGTAAATTAGTTATTCCAGAATTCCTAGTTTCTAAGCTGTTCTTTTGGCCACAGTATTTATGTGCAAGGTCCTCTTCAATTACTGGTTAATGTTAACATGCCGGATGTTGAAAGAGGGGTATTCAGTGATGCTAATGTCATTGATGGGAGATGATTAAACTCCCTCTTGTTATAAATAGCTATTGTCTGACATTTATGTAGCATAACACTAGTTGCTATACATTAGCCATGCTTGGATATCGTCTAAGTTTTGCTGCATATGAACATGGGTTACTTTGAAGTCCAAGAATGCATGAATGGTGCACATTGTATAATCACCAGTGAAGATCCTCACTTCTGACCTTATGATACTGGGAAGGTCTTTGTTGAAGGAGCTGAAGATGGTCCAGCCTAGGACAATAGCCCGAGGAACTCCTGCACAGATACCCTGGGACTGAGACGATTGACCACAAACAAACAATAATCCTGTTCTATTGGTATGACTTCAACCAGCAGACAGCTTCCTTCCAACCCCTGCCCCACTTCTCCTGTGAACCTCCCGACATTTAAACTGACTTGATGTCGTTGATGTCAAGGGGATGTCTAAATGGGCTCAGGGTGTCACATGAGTTACGAGGGGCTAAGAGGCTTGGTCAATAGGCATATGGTGGAATAGAAGAAGAGGGGCCAAGGAGAATAGATAGAGAGGCATAGGTGGCATGGTCATATGGGGATACAGGGGAGTGTGTGGTTACATGGCATTTGGCAGCAAGGAGTGAGAGGGTGACAGCCAGAGGGATGAGGTATATAACATAGGGAAGAAATGCAGCCAATTTTGACCAACAAAGTTGTGAATAAAATGGCCAAAAATCTGCTCTCATGGTGTCAGTTGAGAGATAAATATTGTACATGGCAATCTGAGAACTTCCCTGTTCCTTTTTGAACAGTGTAGCAGGACTGCAACAACACATGCACTTAATACCACCAAGCATCCGATTGTCATAGAATTATGCAGACTAAGTACCATAAAGGTTGACTGGATGACATAAATGTGGTGAAAAGTGACAGCAAAATAAAGCTGAGGTTCAAAACTCATTAAAAGCAAGAGATGAGCCCCTTTCTAGGAAGCCACAAGCAAGTCTTAATGAGATAATTCAATAAACTGTCAGTGATAGCTGTATTCCACACAATCTGAAACTTCATGGCACAGCATCGACTTGTTTTTGATATTCACTGGTGGGACATGGTTGTTGCTAGCTGGCCGGCAGTTATAGCCTGTCCCTAGTTGCCCTTGAGTTCGTGGTGGTGAGCTGCCTTTTTGAACTGCTGCAGTCCACATGCTTCATCATTAGCATCTATCCAGTGAACTAACTGTGGATCAAGGTGGTGTATGATTGATGATTTATTGTCACTTGCATTTTACAGTGAAATGCAATAAGATACAGTGAAAAGCTTTCATGAGTTGCCATAATCCAGTGCCTTTTTGATAGTTTAAGAATAAGAGAAAATAAGAAGATATAACTTAAAGAGAAGTCCATGTACGTACAAGTTCTGAGCTGGCTCAGAACCACCACCGTCTTGCCAGACCCAACCAAGGTCGAAGTCACCGATCCTCAGCCTCCACCTTTCATTGCTGGGCTGATTTACCTTCACCACTGCCTGCACCAGGCACACCAATGTCAGAGACGACAGCTGCAGCTGATGTTGCTGTGGTGCATTCCTGCCACTGCTTCGCCACCGTTAGTGATGGACCCAGCCAATGACAAAGTTGGCGATCCGCACGTGCCATCTTTCGTCGTTGGGCCTACCTCATTGATGTCACCTCAAGCTCGCTCTCCATGCAGGACTTGCTCGTAGGGGGGCATAACAAAAGCTGCACTAGGCGTGCCAAAAACCGTGTTGCCCAACTTAGTGAAGTTATGTTCCAGCATGAGATGGATCATCAGCAAATGCAGTATGCTGTAGACAGAAGTGAGCAATCCCACAACCACTCAATTCAATACTCAACAGTCGTCATGCATTTCAGTCCTGAATTGTGGTGGACTATTGAGCAACTAACTGGAAAAGGAACCTCAGTGAATTTCCTATCCTTAATAATGGAGGGAGTCCATCACCTTGGCGCAGAAAAACAAGCCTGAAGCATTTACTATCACTTTCAGCAGTAAGTGCCAAGAAGTTGATCTTGCATCTCATATACCAGTATTAAACCAATTCAATTCACTCCAGGTTATAAAAAGATCTGGCTGAGCATACTGGGCACTGGCCAGTTAGCTTAACTTCGGTAGTGGGGAAAATGCTTGAACCTATCATTAAGGAAGAAATAGCAAGACATCTGGATATAAATTGTCCTAATGGGAATACCCAGCATGTGTTCATGAAGGGTAGGTCATGTTTAACTAATTTGGTGGAATTCTTTGAGGACATTACTTGCATGGTGGACAATGGGGAACCTGTGGATGTGGTGTATCTGGATTTCCAGAAGGCATTTGACAAGGTGCCACACCAAAGGCGCTACATAAGATAAAGTTGCACGGTATTACAGGTAATGTATTGGCATGGATAGAGGATTGGTTGACCAGTAGAAAGCAAAGAGTAGGGGTAAATGGGTGTTTTTCTGGTTGGCGGTCAGTGGCTAGTGGTGTGCCTCAGGGATCAGTGTTGGGACCTCAATGGTTTACAATTTACACAGATGATTTGGAGTTGGGGACTAAGTGTGGTGTGTCAAAATTTGCAGATGACACTGAGGTGAGTGGTAGAGCAAAGTGTGCAGAAGACACAAAGTCTGCAGAGGGATATAGATAGTCTAAGTGAGTGGGCAAAGGTCTGGCAGATGGAGTACAATATTGAGAAGTGTGAGGTCATCCATTTTGGTAGGAATAACAGCAAAATGGACTATGTTTTAAGTGGTAAAAATTGCAGCACACTGCTGTGCAGAGGGACTTGGGTGTCCTTGTGCATGAATCGCTGAAGGTGGGATTGCAGGTGCAGCAGGTGATTAAAAAGGCAAATGGAATTTTGTCTGCCATTGCTCGAGGGATGGAGTTTAAAAACAGGGAGGCTATGCTGCAGCTGTATAGGGTCCTGGTGAGGCCACACCTGGAGTACTGTGTGCAGTTTTGGTTGTTCTCATTCCTTACTTGAGAAGAGATATACTAGCACTGGAGGGGGTGCAGAGGAGATTCACTCGGTTGATTCCGGAGTTGAGAGGGTTGGATTATGAGGACAGACCGAGTAGACTGGGATTATACTCATTGGAATTCAGAAGAATGAGGGGAGATCTTATAGAAACATATAAGATTATGAAGGGAATAGATAAGGTGGAGGCAGGGAGGTTGTTTCCGCTAGCAGGTGAAACTAGGACTAGGGGGCATCGCCTCAAATTAAAGGGAAGCAGATGTAGGACTGAGGTCAGGAGGAACTTCTTCACCCAAAGGGTTGTGAATCTGTGGAATTCCCTGCCCAGTGAAGTGTTTGAAGCTACCTCGCTGAATGTTTTTAAGGCAAGGCTAGATAAATTTTTGAACAGTAAAGGAATTAAGGGTTATGGTGAGTGGGCGGGTAAGTGGAGCTGAGTCTCAAAGATCAGCCATGATCTTATTAAATGGCAGGGCAGGCTTGAGGGGCCAGATGGCCTACTCCTGCTCCTAGTTCTTATGTTCTTATGTACTGCTTAGCAAGTACTGCTTAGCAAGGAAGACAGCTCCTGATAACATTTCAGCTCTAAGTCTGAAGACATGTTCTCCAGAACTGAATATATCTCTAAACAAGTTGTTCGAATATAGCTCTAACGCTAGCACAGAAAAATGAAAAATCCAATCCTGCTAATTACTGTCCCATCATTTACTCTCAGTCATAGAAATGATGGATGGTGTTATTGACAGTGTTAACCAGATTACCCATAATCTGCTCAACAATGCTGTTTTAGTTCCACCAGGATCAGTCAGCTCCTAAACTGTAATGGCTCTGGCCAGACATGAACAAAGGAGCTTAACTCCAGAGGTGACGTGATTGCAAGTGCCCTTGACATCAAAATGAAATTTGACCAAGGTGGCAAGGAGCCATAGCAAATTGAAGTCAATGGTTAATGGAGTAAATGTCTCCACTAGCTGAAGTCATTCCTGGGATGAAGGAAAATGATTATGATTGTTGCAGGAAAATCATTCCAGCCCCAAGAATTTCTGAAAGAGTTCCTCAGAGTAATATCTGAGGTGAAATAACCTCTCATTGCTTCCTCAATGAGTTTGTTTCATCCTAAGGCTAGAAGTGAGCATTCTTGATGATCAATGCTGAGTTCTTTTGCAACTTCCCAAGTAATATCTGTTTCACACAAGTGTCTGCCAATGACCAGCTAAACATGAATTAATATCATGGGGAAGGGATGAGGTTCCGTAGCACTATCTTCGCTGAATACCTACCACCAACATCAACACTGACCCACCACGTAAATACCACAGGTCAGAGACCGCAGATTCTGCGTCTTCCCAACTCCCCAAATACTTTACATGAACTACAATACACAAGTCAGTGTGGTGGATTACTCATTTGCTTGAAAAAGTGCTCTTCCAACATTACTCAAGAACCTCAACATCATCCAGAAGAAAGCAGACCACTTAATTGGCATTCCATTCACCAACTAATCACTCCCTTCACCATCAATGCACTGAAGCTGTAATGTGCACCATCTACAAATGCACTGCAAAGATAAAGCTCTTTTGATAGGACTTTCCAAATAACTGACGTCTGTAGCCTCAAAGAACAAAGGCAGCAGACACGTGTGAATACTACTGCATATAAGTCTTCCTGCAAGTCACTCATCATTCTGACTAGAAGATGTCAATGGGTCAAAACACTGGAACTCCTTTCCCAACAGTACTGTGCATACATCTATACTAAATGGACTGCAGTGGTTTGAGAAGGTGTCTTATGTTATGGACCAGACCAGAGCACTCCACCTCCTGCCTTTCCCGCTTGCCTCAAAATGTTGTAAGGAGATAGCCTAGACCTTAACCAAGTTTTATATTTATTTAAAGGCAAGTGTAAGGTGCTGTACTCCAGATGTGATTTGATTAGTCCACCACTAGACTTTAATCAAAAGATACTTTATTCTTACAACAGTTAAAATACAAAAAAAGTTGGCATAACTTTAACTATTGAAATAATTAACAAGATAATGTATTATTTAATAACTAACCATCAAATTTTCCAAAAAAAAGCAACATCCCATTAACACACCCTTTGTTAAAATTACAATTCAGCAAAACAGTTATGATTCTCACACGCTGCCTTTCTCCAGTCCAGAAGAAAGAAACAATCTGTCCTTTTGGTGTTTAAGAGGAAGCCTTGATGTCGAAGACTTCACTCTAGTAATTGGGAACTCAAACTTTTAGCTCAGCAGCCAGCAGTAATCTTCTCACTAATTGAAAGCAAAACTAAAAGCCTTCCTGGGTCTTTGTGAGCCCTAACCACACCCACTCATGATTCTTTTATCTTGAAACAAAACACCACCCAGGGAAAACTAAAAAGCTGTTTACCAACTGCCTGTCTGAAGGAGACATTTTGTCACCACTGTGGCAACACCCCTCTATAAGAGAAACAGCGTAGAACATCTCTCTTAAAGGGCACAGTCTTGTCACACTTATCACCACCTTCTGAAAAGCAATGAGCACTTAGCAATGGGGTAATAAATGTTGACCTTTCCAGTTAGGCATACATCCTGTGAATGAAGAAAAATGCTAATAATATCAAGAATAGATAACAACATGGAATGCCCAAACCAGGTATAAATAAATGTTGTTGACAAAACATCAGCAGACCATTCTGATTATAAACAAACTGAATGAATAGAACTGTTTCAATCATTTTGACAATAGTGTAATTGTTTGTTTTATATAAATAATACCAAACTATTGTTGAAAATAGCAAGACAAGCAAGTGGCTCTTACTCACATGGAACTGTTATACCATAGTGCTGTGAATCACTGATCAACAATTTCCTTTTAAGCTCGTTCAGTCCAACTCCTGGAGGGCCTACAAAAGCAAGCAGTGATATAAAATAAAGATCAAAGAGCAGTTTTAGAAATATGAACTACCAATTTTTCTTTCCTAAGGATTCAACAACAAGAAACCACGTAATTTGTTGTTAATGCTTCTTTTTCATATGAACTCAGCAGTACTAGTATCTGATTTATAATAAAGGTAAAAAGGTAAAGTCACTATAGTATTATTTGAAAGAGATAATTGGCAGTGATTTAACCAAAAGGTCGTAATATCTCAGGTGAGGGAAGAGGGTAAGAAGAAGGTTACTTCATGGTAACCTCACCCAGTGTGGGAATTGACCCACACTGTTGGCATCACTCTGCACTGTAAACAGCCATCCAACCGACTGAGCTAATATTTTGTTAAACAATCAGCCATTGACTGCTAAAGAACTCATGCCATTTACATATGCTTTAATTTTGATGTACTATGAAAATTATGTGAACAATTTTCTGAATTTAGAAATCTGTTCTTTGAACCAAGATCTGTGATGTGCAGGATTTCCCTTTAGGCACAAAGTATTTCATAATTACTGTTCCACACCCTTATCCACAACAAGCCCTGCTCCAGTTAGCTGTTTTGATGCAGCAGGTCAAATTCTATCAAATCCAGAAGTGGATCATACAACACTGTTCATAAATGTACATAACACATCTTTTTTCATACATAACAAGGCCATAACCTTACTAAAAGCCCTTACAATCTTTTGCAAGATTTAAGCTTTTACTGGCTTCTTGGCTACGTGCAGAACAGTTCAATAATGTTCAGAGAAAGCTTGCCAGACAGCTTTACTGTTCCTTCCATCATTCTTACAATATTCACCTGCCCCTTAAAAGGGTAATACAAATTCAATCCCAAAGGACTACCAAAATAATGCACATTTTAGCTGGTTCCAGATATTCTTACGTTCTGGGTAAAACGTCATATAAAATTGTGAAACAAACAGTCAGCAATGTAAACATTTTAAAACTCACGAGTACAAAGGAGGAATGACAATGTGTCCAGATGATAAGCCTCACTGAGAATACTGACATATTTTCAGATAATGACTAATCTCTGCATTTAGAACATCATCTGTTTTTATTTCGGATTCCAGTGTTCAAGAACATAAGAAAGCACAGAATTGGAACAGATTCTACAATACATCTGGTTGGTCCCAAAACTAGTACCTTTCAAATCCCCAAATCCCTCAAGTATCTCTCTAATCCTTAATTATTTCCAGAGGATCTAGCTCAACTATCTCCCTAGATAGTCTATTTCACATTCACTACCCTATGGGTAAAGTAGTTAAATCTAAATTGACTTCTAAACTTGAGCTTCAAGATCTTGTTCCTTTCCATGCCGTTACCATCGAAGTACTGCTTCTCCTCCAAATAAACTGTCATAATCTGCACTTTAAAAATCAGATCTGAGAAAGAGAGTGGTTTTCCTATACTGTACCATGCTGTGGAAGATGATTTAACTACAGGATGTTCAAGCTACTATCTTGATGCCGGCAACTATTTTTGATTCTGTTCATTTTAGAACGGAGATATTTAAGAAACCAATGCAGGTATCTAAATTCAGTCAAGGCATGAAAAAGGTTTTAGCATTGTCTAAGACAGCAGAAAAGCATCAAGGAAGAAGTAACCTCGTTATGAGTAGTTGGGCAGACTGTACAGCAAATCAATCCTCCCACTTTAAGAATCCCAAACGTTCTTTATTTTTGCAATGCTTTGCAAACATAAGACAAACCGATTGCCTTATGTAACATTAATTATATTTTTACAGTCTACATGTTGTCCACCAAACAACAAGACTGCATTGAACAAAATGTCACTTCATCTAAATCAGTTTGCCTCTGTAGAAATTAAAAGAACTACATATGATTAAGACAAAGAGTTTGGGTCTGGAGCTCAAGGAAATTTTGTGATTCCACTTTATTGATCTCACTACAGCATAGGCACATACAGAGCAGACTGAAGTAGTTCCTATTCAAAAAGCAAGCAAACAGATTGCTTGAGAGCAACCTATACCACTGAATGCAAATAAATACCTTGTGATAGACTCAAACACAGGCTTTCCTACCTAGTGAACTATTATTTAACAGCATATCATCAAAAACCTTACAAGAATAACCACAGCGATAATATCCCCATTGTCCAATTGTGTAACCTTTAGACATTCATTCTTCAAATCTGTGATGATTCTACTCATTCATTCTTCAGCTGTATATTTATTCCTCTGAGTAACTACAGAATTTTCACCAATAGCAAATGTTTAGTAACTGAATTTTTTCTGCCTTAATTATGTCCCTTTTTAAACATTGATGTTATGTGAGATAACTTGTTAGCCCAGATCACTATTCTCATTTCTATTAGCTTCTTGAACATAAAGTCAAGGACATCATTAATGGAGATGGCTAATGAAACTAAATAGTTAAAAAATACTCTGCAAATCATAAATGAAATAAAAGATCTTACAAATACTCAATATGTCTGGTAGCATCTGTGGAGTCAGAAACAGAGTTAATGCTTCCGGTCAATGACCTTTCAATTAGGACTGCAAGAAGTTAGAAGACACATTTTGAACAGCAAAGAGGCAGGGCATTTGAAGTAAGGCACTTAAGGCTGGTGCTGAAGGCAGTATATTAGCATGGATAAAGGATTGGTTAACTGATAGAAGACAGAGTTGGGATAAAAGGGGAATTTTCAGGACAGCAACCTGTAACTAATGGAATGCCATGGGAATCAGCGCTGGGGCCACAATTATTTACAATATATATGAATGACATGGATGATGGAAGTGAATGTACTATCGCCAAGTTTGTGGATGTCACAAACAGTCTACAGGAGGATACTGACAGGTTGATTGAGTGGGTGAAAACATAACAGATGGAAAAAATAATGGGAAAATGTATGGTTATGCACTTTGGCAGGAAGAACAGAAGAGCCGAATATTATTAAAATAATGCAGAAAACTGCAATGCGCAGTGACTTGGAGGTCCTCACACAAGAATCACAAAAAGCCAGCATTCAAGTTCAGCAGGTTATAGGGAAAGCAAATGGAATGTTGGCCTTTATTTCAAAGGGAACGGAATATAAAAATAGGGTAAATGTTCTAAAACTATACAAGGTGCTAGTCAGACTATGGCTTGCAGACTGTGAACAGTTTTGGGCCTCTTACCTAAGGAAAGATATACTGAAATTGGAGGCAGTCCAGAGAAGGTTCCCTCGGTTTATTATGGTTATAGAAGGAATTTCTTATGAGGACAGGTTGAGTAATTTAGGCTTGTACTTACTGGAGTTAAGGAGAATGAGAGGAAACCTTAATGAAGTCAGAGTTTCACTGCTTGGAAAAGGCTTTTTGGCCCATGATGTCCACACACCAGTCATCAAGCACTTATCTACTCTAGTCCCTATAGCGATTGTATCAGGGTCAGCAGGTGGACCTCACAGAATGAGTTTCTTGATTTGGGCTGTTAATCTTGTCCAATCAGGAAGCCCTGGCTGACAAATATAAACAGGGGTGCCAGACATCCTGTTCACTCTGACAGAGCTGGATCAGTGTCAAGGACTTTCCACGTGTCAATAAAGGATCACTTTGGTGACAGGATACCAGCTTCTGTGCACTTATTTCAGTGGCGATTATAGGAAAGCACACTCCTGAAGAAATTTACCCACAAAGCCGTCTTTGAATTAGGATTAGTGTTTCTGGCATCATGCTGTTATTTGAGAAGTTTGATTTGTTCAATTCTACTGTCAAGAACCGGGCCTAGAAAATGGAAAGAATGTGGGTTTTCTCACCCCATGTAAATGACACTGGGGCAGATGAAAAGCAATGGAGTAATTCTCCCGTCAGCTTGTGGACCCACAGCTTTTTCGGTTATTAGCAGTCTCATTTTCCTGAGGCACCAGATACTAAAACCTTTCAAGAGTTGATGGATTTAGTTAAGGAATATTACGACCCCAAGCCTCCTCTAATTCTGAGACGCTATCGGTTTTACTTGGCAATTTGAGAACCGGTGGAATCCGTAACAGAGTTTTTGACCACCTAAAGATGACTGACAGAGGTACGTGACCTTGGTTTAACCCTTAATGAGACGCTGAGAGACTGCGTGGTATGTGAGATTAGTGATGTTACCATGCAGAAGCACCCTACTAGCTAAAGCCCAACTGGACTTCAAACAGGCACTACCACTGGCTCTATCACTGGAAAATGCCGCAAGTGGAGCACGGGAGTTGCAGGGTTTTCCAAGGAAATGGGCACCCTCATCAGTCCAATTGAGCTTGGGAACACCACTTGAGTCAAGGCAATTGTATAGCCTCACTCAAAACATACGGACTCTGGGTCAGCCCATAGCATAAGCCCAAAATGAAACCAAGCCTCGGCTAAATGTTTAAAATTTTCTTCAGGATCCTGATCGGCAAGCCATTGTAGCTGCTGCCAGTCTGCAGACTCGAGACAGCAAAGGAGTCCTACAAGGCCTGGATTGAGTATGAGAATTCAAAGGCCAGTATCCAGGAGAATGCACATCTTGGACAGTACACCTTCATCTGGTTTGGAACAGTTAATTTGCTTAGCAACATCCTAATTAGAACCAATCAAAATATATGCCTTGTTGAATGGTCATCCTGTTCTAACGGAGGTTGATACTGGCGTGGCCATTTCAGTAATCGTAGAACCAGTCTTTAACAAAACTCAGTCTGGATTCCAACCCTTAAGTTTTCGCAAGACCTTGGCTATACTGAGAACCTATACCGAGGAACCTTTACTGATTAAGGGTACAACTTTGGTTCCATCTGTTATGAGAAACAGCTGGTTCAGTTACCACTGACTGTACTAAACGGCCCGGGCCCAAGCTTGATGGGGTGAAATTGCTTGAGAATTATCTACCTAAGCTTGGCTCCAGATTTTTTTTTATTAGAAAATGGCTGCCTGAGTGATGTCTTAATTAAATACCTGGACGTTTTTCAGGAAGGTCTAGGGACTATCAAAGGAGCCAAGGCCAC